AACGTTTGCCGGGACAGCTAATAGTTAATATAAAATTCTGAGATAGTTTACTTCACAACTCAATCTAATTTTACTTGTTTCTTCAAGCTCCTAATATGATTTATTTATTTTTTCAGTTGGCATAGGTACAAGGCCAGAATAGGTCGCATATCTTACGATTCCAAGTGGTTCTCGAAGTGGTACCAGAACCATCTCATTATCCAAGAGATCCCAATGGTTTGGCACCCACATTTTAGTGTGGACAGACTTGCCCTGGTAGGTTGCTATGAGGATGGTGCCTGGTCATCAGCCTGCACGGCGAATGCAACCAGATGTACAGTTCAGGGGGTAAGATTAATAATTAATATAGTAGTTATTGCAAATAAATATATTTTTACATATAATCATGGTTTTATGTATCAAATCTAACTTTATAGTCGACGTTAAGGAGAAATATATACCAGAAAATTTTTGTCTGAATAATTTTGGTTTAGCATTTTGTATAGTTGTATAAGAAATCTTGTTAGATTCTTACTGAAATTTGTATTGCATGTCTGATTTAACTCTTGTGACAAGAGATAAGGAATTTGATTTTAATAAAGTAGAGCAAGTACTAACTTTCTGACTATTCATTTATATAAGTCTTTTTCTGGTGTTTCGAGAAGTTTGGTAAGAAATCTATTAAGACTATGATAAAATTTTGTCGCACTTTCTTAAATTATGGCCAAGCAAAATATGTTAATTATATTATATAGTAATTGTGGCAAATATATAGATTTTTTTAATATATTTATTATCAAATCCAACTCCGCGAATTTTTATAATGCATTTTGGAAAGTTGTATAAGAAATCTGGTTAGTTCTTACTGAATTTTGGTATTGCCAATCAGGATTTAATCCTGTGATACGAGATAAGGAAAAAATAAATATTTTTAATTTTAATAATGCAAGTACTAACATTCTGACTATTCATCCATATGAGTCTTCTTTCATTATTTTGAGAAATTTGTTGAAAAATCCATTAAGATTACAATAAAGTTACGTAGCAATTTATTAAATTTATGGCCAAAGACAAAATATGTTAATTATATTATATAGTAATTGTTGTAAATAAATATAAATTTTTCAATATATTTATTATCAAATCCAACTCTGCGAATTTTATAATGCATTTTGGAAGTTGTATAAGAAATCTAGTTAGATTCTTACAGAATTTGATATTGCACGTCCTCCAATTTAACCCTGTTATACGAATCTGGAGAAAATAAATATTTTGATTTTAATAAAGTAGAGCAAGTACTAACTTTCTGACTATTTATTTATATGAGTCTTTTTCTACTGTTTCGAGAAGTTTGGTAAGAAATCTATTAAGATTATAATAAAATTTTGTCACAATTTATTAATTTATGGCCAAGGATAAAATGTGTTAATTATATAATCGTCAGTTCTTAATCAGTGAATATATAAATAATAGTTATGTTAATGTTATTTTTCCCTTTCTGTATTTTTAATGATTTATATTTTTGATTCCAGAAATCCATATGCATCAGTGTTTCCAGAATTTGTGACATCACTATTGATTGTGATAATGGAGAGGATGAACTACAAGATTGCGGTAATTTTTGAGAATTCTTATTATTTAATTTCATAAAAATGCATTTATACATATTGTTAACATGGAGTACACATTACACTCAAGTGTTACACGAACTTTAATTTATAAAATTGCTGACATGTTGGACTATGATTCCTCTCATCGTCACCATACTTATTTTACAAAAATTTAACATATTTTATAAATGTATGTATAATTCCAAAATATATTTCATCGTGAACGGTAGCACTTTAGATTTAACAACTTTTGGTCACAAAGCTTAACAATGCACCAAATAAATGAAATAAAATAAATGAAAGAGTTTTGCAGCATGATATAAAAAAGTATGAGAGGTCCTAAAAAAATACTCTAGTAGTTTTTTAGTATAAACGAGGGGTGTTCAGAACGTACTAGAAATTTTTAAGTTTTTTCGGTCTGAACAGTCCGATTGTCAAAAACAAATTTTGATATAAGTGTCCCTGCAGTATGATGAAATTTTCAGCTATATTCTCTGTTTACTTCGTCTGTGGTAGCTTTTCGACTTTCGACTTTTGCTTTTGGAAAAAACGTCGTCTTTAAATGAGTTTTTTGGCAATGTCTGGTGAATATGGAATTGGATGCATGACTACGGTTTAACCATGTTTTGGCCAAAAAGTGCTAACAAGCACTGACTGATGAGAGCAGTTTTGGAATAAAATTTTTGCTCCATATTTCAAGCGCATTTAAAAAAATGTTTAACATAAGCCAGTTGATATGTCATCTCTATCAGCAACTTTTCTAATTATAATTTGGCTCCTACTGGGCTTTTCTGATATTTCAAAATCTCCACTACTTTGGCATTTATTTTGTAACTTCAATTTTATTACCCTATCTGCTTCTATTTTAAATGGATAATTTCCTTTATGTCCGATGTGACCACTCGAACCATCTATTCTGGTTAATTAATCTCTGACTTGTCTTCTGATCTTATCATATCTTTTTTTATTTTATTTTAATCTCTATAAGTTGTAGAACTCTTTAGAAGCACTCATAACTATTTTATTAACTTTTTTACATTTTCATCACTTATTGATGTGCTGGGTCTACATGAGCGTTTGTTGTCTTCAACGTGTTTGTGAAAACTCACCATAGGGATTTTGTAATATTTTATGCACTTTTTACCTTTATTTCATTTGTAGGCAAAATTTAATGCAAATTATTTAAATCTAAACTATCCGCTTCATGAAAACATCAAAATATTAAATTATTTTTTCGGGAAGTAATCGCAAAATAATCGAAAATAAAAAAATTTATATTTAAAAACCTTCCGAACATTTTGGCTTACCTTAGAAAAAATTGATGTGTTATGTATGCATGTACTAAATGATCTTGAAGATGAGCATTAGTTACCTCACAATAAGATTATTCTAGTAACGTAGATGGAGTCAATTGCCAAATAAAAATACGGAGACAGGTACCTTAATTGGTCTTTTCTGGTTTACCTGTCAAGGAAGCAGAAAATCCAATACGACAGTCAATCACACCATCAAATATATATATTAGGGGGCGTCTATTAATCATATGAGGTTTTTAAGGGGAGAGGGGTTTGACAAAAATTATGAAATATCACGTGAAGGAGGGAGGGATATAGTAAGATATCATGTGTATTTATTTTCACTTGATTTCTTAAAAAAATTCCGAACGTTTTAAAAAAAAAATCAAAAATTTTCCAATTTTTTCTTGTAACTAGGGGTAGGAGTAATTTTGAATATCACTACGTATCACCAAGGAGGAGGAGAGGTACAAAAATTCTTTAAAAATCGATCACGTGATTAATGGACGCTCCTTTATCATATATAACATTAAAAGAATTTAATATTATATACCAACATAATTAGTGATTTCAACGATGGAATAATCTAAATATCATTATTTTTAGACAAAATTCCTTTCGGCGGCCGTTGCGACTTCGAGTCAGGCTGGTGCGGTTGGCGCAATGCCGAACCTGGAAGGGCCGTACTCAGGTGGTCCAGGCACAAGGGCCGAACTCCCACAGATGGAACGGGGCCTGATGAAGATCATACTCATCAATTCTCAAACGTCTCTGGTAAGAGGTTAATTTAACTTACTGAATATTGTAATCATTGACAACAAGAGAAAAGAGTCATAACAGTCAACATACAATGTAATATATATGATTCATGAAAAGTACTACGTTGCTCAATTATTAAGTACTATGTTGTTCACAAATTAAATTATTTTGAACAAACACATGATTCAAATATTTTAGAATGATAATTTAATCAGAATCATGATAATTTAAGTCATTTAAATCATACCTTCAGAATTAATTACTTGCTACTACATTTCTTATTGTTATTGACTAAAAAAACAATTACAGAAGTATTTACTTGCTACTACATTCATTGTTATAAAACATTGCTAACTAAAATAAAAAAAAACAACTATTATTATTCATTATTTAATAAAAGTAAATTTACAACTTTTAATATTAGTACATAAATCTAATTTTTACTGTATTTTTTATATTTCAGGACAATATCTGTATGTCAACATGAACCAGACTGGTGGAAAATTCGCGAGTAACGCGGTTTTGAACAGCGTCGTCTTTAACGCTCCTCCTAGGGTTCATGGTGATCCTAGTTCTAAATATTACAATTCTTGTATGGTAAGTTAACGAAAAAATTACATAACAATATATAAAAATAGATATAGAAATAATTGTATTGAACATACAATTATTGCATGTCTTATTATTAGTGATAACCATTTTCTTGGATCATTTTGCTTACAAATTCAAAACAATAACATATTTCCAAATAAATCATAACTTTGCTTAAAAAATAACTTGTTGCTCAATGTTATTATAAATAATTCTTAGTTACATGAGAAATGATTCCCAAATCCCACACTTTATTATGAGATCATACAAAACTTTTGAATATGAATGTCCAATAAATAAATTGATAAAAAAGAGTGCGCGTAAGGTTCACACACGATTGAAGTAAAACTTATTTGTTACTGTACAACATGGCATTTAAGTTAAAAATAAATACATCATATAACAAATTTGAATAATGTTTATTAGTAATATGGTTACACTCGTGATGCGCACATTTATTAGTGCCAACCGTTATACACATTTATATAATAATAAATTATAAATTATATATATTTTAATAACATTAAAAATATGTATAATATTAAAAAACATTAATGTAATCAAAGTCATACTTCAAATATGACATGATCGGTTTGTCATTGTAATTAGCATATAGAAATGAACCTTCATTAGAAAGATGAAGTAATTGCTGATTAATAATTCTATTATTTGTTCACACAGTGGATTAGGTTAAACGACGCCTAAACAAATATTGTTTTTGCAACTTCACTCATCATGTAATTGTGTTTGAAGAACTTCGTGTAGTTAAAATTACATACATTCATTGACTGCTTGTATTTTTTTTACGTTTTTGCTGGCGATATAATCTCATTCTTTGAACAGCTGTAACATCTGTCTTGCCTAAAAAATATCTTCCATTCTAATAACTTCAAAGATTTATGGGAACTAGGAATTATATAGAAATAATTTCTAATTAATAAACTTACGTTTAGTACACGACACAAATGTTGAATTTGTTTTATTATTTTCAAGGAACAGGGTAAAATATTCTTCTAATTCAGACATTTTTCATTAAATCAAGATTTGTACTATGATGTAACTTTAAAATTTTTCCATCAGATTCGTTTCTTCCATCACCAATATTGGATAAGTTCGAGTAGCAACGTAGTTGGCAGCATCCAGTTATTTTTAGTAGAACTAAAACAGAAGGAAAACGTGACTACTTCTCTTTGGTGGAATTCCAAAAATAAAGGCAAGGAATGGAGCAGAGCTGACATCACTTTGCCGAATGTCACCACGAGGTAAGTAAAAAAAAAGATAAATCTTCATCAGGAAATAAGAAATTTTCATCAGAACTTGTGACTTAAAATACATTTTGTATGAATAGAAAATATTTACTGCGGTATAAAATTTAATTTTAATATTTTTAATACATTCTGAAAGGAAATTAAATATTGTCTGAAATATTTTCACACTTGACCAATAAATAGGTTTTATCCAACAATACTAAAAAATATAGAAATTTATATTTATTTATCCAGAACTTGGGTAACAGAATTAACGAAATGGTCTATTTTTTCAAGAATTTTTATATTTTTTTTTAATTGTGGACTTCAGTTTTTTTGTGAGTTTACTACTATCTGGCTTATTGACTTGTATATTAGCCCATGAAGTAATGCTGTTTAATATTTCTTATTACCATGATGATACTTGAAATTTATCTCTGATACTACCTTTACACTGATGTTTGATTTTTTTCTTCAGGTATTTTCTACAATTTGAAGGACGTATGGGTCTACGAATTTTCACAGACGTTGCCATAGATGATTTTTCAATGTCTCCAGAATGTTTTGGTCTAAACATTCCTGCATCAGAATTAGATGGATACAACTACTATGATCCAAGAATCACTTCTCCTACTGTACATCCAGATTTTGTTGACAAATCATGTAAGAATATAATGGTCACAGAACTGCAAATATAGAAATAGAAATTTTATCATAAAATATTCCATTATTAAAATTAAATCCATTATTTTGGACTAAATATTTGCTTGGTAGCAAACATTTATATAGAACAAAATTTGGAAAAAGATTGTCAAAGACAGTTGCTATTCCAATTTCATATTTTACTTTGTTTACTCAATGTTTATCATTTATTTTCCATAATTGTTTTTATTATTGATTTCTGATATTGGGTATTTTTCTTTCCCAGATTATGCTCTAACAACTTGTAACAGTGAAGGTCCATTTGGCCCTACGCCTCTGGATTGTGAAAATGCTTACAAGAACAAAACAAAAAGTTCTGTTTCTGTAATGGTCGGAGCACCTTATGAAGGGATGCAAGTTTGGACAGTGCCGAATCAGGGAATTTACACGTAAGTAGTAATAATAATAGATAGTTTTATAGTCAATGAATTATTATATAATGACTCAGGAAGAATGTATGCAATTTTATTGTGATTAAACAAAAGTGGATAAAGTCATGTTTTACCTAAGAGTTGCATGTTCCTAATCAGAGACATTGTCTAATTTTTTTTAGAATAATTGCGAAAGGTGCAGGAGGTGGTCGTGGTTCTGATGGTTTTGGATCGTCCAGAGGTGCATCAGCTCGAATTGTTTTGGAACTTTTCAAAGGCGAAAAAATATACGTTCTGGTGGGCCAGGAAGGTGCCAGCGCCTGCTATAAGGTAAAATAATAATCGTCCTTGAAAGGTAATTAGTAATTTCTAAGTGGTCAGTATTTATTAATAAAATGTTGAATTGTCACCTAATAGTGGACATTTTAGATTTGATTTTCAGGATGTGTTAAAAAACTTGTTAGTTAAAATAATGTATTAGTATTTGAATTTAGAAGATCCTTGACTACTGATCTCTTCTTTTTCTGTAGACATATTAATGTCTTGGTAAATTAGCCGATTTATATTTGTATTACCAATTAGACACTAATTTTGATTTATTATTTTCTAGTCTGTTAGTGGTAGAGGCAATTCATCCTGTCCAGCAGATAAACCAGCAAATGCCAGTACACAATACAGGAGCAAAACCCATGAAATCAGGAATACAATTATCCAGGACGGAGGTGGAGGTGGCGGTGGTGCATCCTATGTTTTTCTGGTAAATTTGAATATTATAACAAAATATATATAAATTATCAGCAATATTTAGACTAAAATCATATATATTGCAGCAATTCTTAAACTTTTATTGGTCCTCACCAGTTTTTAATTTGGTCAGGTTCATTGTCTAATATATCCTTAGTTCAGCCTTATTGCTGATTCACCTACAAATGCTATATTTATATTATTATCAACTGATTGATAAATTTGAATCTTTTATCAAGCAAAATCTTTAGATATGTGTCTTATAGTTGGTTTACGATAAATTCTAAATTTAAGTGATTGGGATGATAAATTTGAATTTTACTGAATCAGATTTAAAGGCTGATTCTGCCTTCAACAGACAAATGTTATGGCAAGGCCATGTTACTCTCCAACTTCCATACATTATGCTACTGATTCATACTGTCAAAATGTCATGTGCATTCAGGCGTTTTACACATGAACTGTAACGTCACTCGTATGTTATGAAGCTGAGCCAGAAAGACTCTGTTATCTAACATAATTTTTAGACATTTGTACGGTTTCTAGGTTAGGGTTTCTATCTGGCAAATTGAGAAAAACGCCTGACTGCATAGCAACCACGTGGTTTCTGTCAATATTTAGTATGGAAAGTTCTTCATAACATAGCCTTGCCATAACCTTGGTATCTGTAGTGCGGCAGTATTGGTCCTTTAATTTTGCACTTCTTAAACTTTATTTTGATTGATCTAACACATTCGTGAATTTGATCATATTTTATGCCTAAATTATATCAACTTGAGTCTTATTGTTGGTTCAAGATAAATACTGACCTTAAGTAATCATAATCTAAATTTTGTAAATTTAATTTGTTTTTTTTTTTCTAGTTGAATGCTGAAAACCAGGCGATTCCTCTAGTAATCGGTGCAGGTGGTGGCGGTTTAGGTTTTGGTAGATTCGAAAATGATGAAACTCAACATGGACATGGACCTGATTCTGCAAGAGCTCCAACTGATGGAGAATACTATGATTTGCCTACCATCAGCGCCGGTAAGAAAAAAATGCACTTTCATATTAGCAAAAACTTGATCTAGGATAATTTTTTTGGGGTTTTATGTCTTTAGATTATTGAACATTATGATTTAGGTTGTTATGAAAATTCATTAAAATAGGCATTTGACTATTAGTAATAAGACATTCAACTATTTCATATACTTAACTTTCATAACTAAAACATTATCTTCTGCATTATAGCAGTTTACATAAACATTATAGACAATAATGAATGAAAATGTCCATCATTTTGAGAATATTATGATTTTCCGACCTTTACAAGCTTTCCAAAAAAATGATCTCATAAATATTTATCTACAAAAATCTTTTATCCCTTCAGGGCCAGGTGGAGGTTGGGCGCCTCGGGGTACCGCCATTTCTGGAGGTCTGGCGGACCATGGTTTTCGGCGGTATCAGGCCGATCTCTGACTGGTGGTGGAGGAGTTGGCGGCAGACCTTGTGGTGGTGCCGAAAAAGGCGGTCGATTTGGCGAAGGTGGTTTTGGAGGCGGCGGAGGTGGCTGCACTAAGGGCGGCGGTGGCGGCGGCTACAGTGGTAAGGGATAAAGAAACAAAAATTGTCAAAATATTTGTATTTTTGGATATTTAGTTTATTTTATTATTATTATTATAATTAGAGAATTAGTCCTTAAAACTGATTTTAATCCTATAAGGAAATATCCTTCTATATGAAGCTGTTTTTGGCAGATTTTCACTTCCAGTTTTAATTTGGAAATTAGTATTTTCCTCATTTTTTTTATTCAACAATATATTTACAAGTGTCCTACATAGACATTAAGTAAATCTTTTGGCAAGTAATATAATGTGACACGAGTTATTACAAGCTAATTAAATCACTAAATATTTTTCTTTTGAGTCTTCGTGTTGTGTTTGTGGATAGCAGTGCGTTCTTCATTTTTTTAATATGTTTAATTTGGAAATTAATATTTTATTCATTTTTTTAATAACTTTCAATAAATAGATATGGTTCTCTAAAAATGTTTTGAACCTATACAAATTTGTATGCACAACGTTATTTATGATAAAAAATAAGTAATTTATTATATTCAAGGATCCATAAATTGGACTCTATTTAGGATTATTACATCTACTAAATATTTATTCATTAAGTTTATATTAAGTAGTTATTTACTTTTTCAGGGGGTAATACGTCCTCTGATTCCAAAAATGGTGAAGGCGGTTATTCCTATGTAACCTCAGAAAGAGGTTTACCAGAATTGGCTATGTGACATCAGCAGCTAATAGTGGTCCTGGTGAAGTCATAATCATACCAGCAATTCAGGTAATATAAAATATTAATACATACAGTAAATAGTACTATTTAGTTTCTTTCTATGGTAATATTACTATATTTGACTATCTTAAGATATGTTAATTTTTATCTATTTTACGATGATAAATTATCTCGTCTCAAAAGTACAAAACCGTCTTTTTTATCACTGACTTTGCAAATTAAAAGTACATTGGTTTTAAATTTAGGCTCTATTTTTAGGCTACATCAATTTTTTTTTTGCTTTTCAGAATCATGTATGATGTATTTTATTCTTATTATTTTATATGAGTAGAAAGACCAAATATATCCTATAAATTCAATAGCTCACATTCAATATTTCTATTATTTTATATAATATTTAATTTTTATTTTTAATATTTAATTTTTTTAGGGTTGTGGTTGCGACTACCGATGCGTTTCCTTAGACGAATTTAGGCCGATGTCAGGTGCATTTGTCCTCAAGGATGGGCTGTTAAAACTGAAGATGGAGCTTGTGAAGGTAATTTAAATAATTCAATTTACTATTATTTCACACACATTGAGTAATAGTCAGACATACATAATAAAAATGAAGAAATTCTTTGGATTCATTGGAAATGCCAACTTTGGTATAAAAAGCTTTATTGATTTGATTCATCAAAAAGCTTGAAATAATTCAATAATTTTAATTTTAAATGAATTAAATTACTATAAAATTCATTCAAAATAAAATTCAATTAATTATGAACCTACCTGTACAAATTTTACTAGTACATAGTATACTTAGTTGTTTTTTCTCACCTAATGTATTATCTTATGAAAGATTTTTTCTTACAAATATTTAAGAATATATAAATATGACTATTAAATATATTTATTAAATAATATTTTTTATTTTACAGTGTATTCTGAGATAGATGGAGTCTCAATTTACACTTTGATAGTTTTTGCTGTTGTGGTCGTAATGCTTGTGATTGCCCTGACACTTCTTTTCCTGATGTTATGTAAGTAAAATTATTTTAATTTTATATTAAAAATGAATCTCTCTTAATTCAGATATTTAGATAAAAACCACGAAAGATAAATTCAACAATTCCAATTAAATAAAAATTAACTATTTTGCTAACACTTGTTAAAAACACCTCTCAAAATCAGTGCACTTAAAATGACTAATAATGGTAATAGTGAAGTATTAATAAATACAGTACTAGTATAATTTTATTAAATAATTTTTAAGACACTAAAGATTGAAAAAAATATATGTAGTTATGTTATAAATAATTTTGCAGACCATCATCGTACCAGAATATCCGATAAGTGTCCAGGTTTGAGCAAATGTTACAATTGGCTTTAAGTGTTTCATTATAATATTTTATAATATTATTAAAAAATGTATCCGTAGTGCAATGTAATCTTTAAATGTCTGTATGATTAATTTTAACGTGGCAAATTTATTAAGAAAATTATTAATCCAAGATCGATCCACCTAATACAAATATAATTCAGTATTTTTCTAGAAATAAAATTTACTTCAGTTGATAATTAAATTATAATAATTTATATTAAATATCAGTGTTAACTGTAAATTAAAAACTACTAAATAAACGTATTTATATATAATATATTTAACCAAAGAACGTAATTATTACTCATGTTATTTGTTATACATATTTTTTAAATATTTAATCAGTATTAGAAAATGTTTAATTTAATTTTATCGTTATATTATTATAATTATATATATAGTTTATATATAATGTTATTTTGTTATTGTTTATTATCACATATTTTATATTGTTATTCATTTTAAAAGTTTAATAAAGAATATTTAATTTATTGTTACGTTGTTTTATTTTTCGAAATTTAACACTAACATAAATTAAGTATTCTTTATTAATTCTAATTTCTTATTTTTTAAATAAGTAATTTAATTCTAAAAAAGCAGAATAAATAATTTAATTATAATTTTTTAAAAATAAAAAAGCTAATATTTCCTTTTTCTTTAAAGAATTATTATAAATTGATCCATATAATAAACCAGTTTAAATATGAAATTAATATAAATTAAAACTTGGGTTTTATTTAATATATAATATTATGGGATCCGAGATACGTCTGTTTTTGTGCCAAAAATTTTGCTTGAAATTATATATTTATTTCACGACGAATTCTTTAATAAAAAAAAAATAACAGAAGTGGGATCAAATGTAGAATTTTAAAAAATTAAATAAATTTTTATTAAACATTATTTATATTTGAATCTGGTGAACAAATATTGGTTGACTATCAATATATTGGGAGTCAAAACTGTCCAAAACCTATGGTATTTATAGTTTTCTTTTTGAATCCATCTGAAACTAACCTCCAAATGGGACAAATGACACAATGACATTTTGAGGGCTTAGGGGACATGCATTAATCACGTTATCGATTTTTTTTAATTTACCCTCTCCCTCCCCAGAGATTATATTCAAAATTATCCTCCTCCCCCACCAAACATTTACTAGTATTTTTAGTTACGGGAAAAAAATGTAAAATTTTTGATTTTTTTTTAATGTTTGGATTTAAAAAAAATCTGGTAACAAATAAGTGCACGTGATATTCTACCCTTTCCCTTTTCTGTTGGAATATTCATATTCACCCCCCTCCTCTGCCAAACATCACGAGTATTTTTAGTTACGTTATTGTAAAATTTTTGATTATTTTTAAAAATGTTCAGATGGTAATGAAAAAATTTGGTAAAAAATAAGTACACGTGAAATTATACCCTTCTCATTCCCTGTTGAAATATTCAAAATTAGTGAAATATAGTATTTTGTACCAACCAAATATTAATACATATTAATACAAGTTTTTACCATATTTATTGACAAATTTAACGTATATTTTTAATATTTTTTTTATTTTTTCATAGATAATCGTTACCAGCACCAGAAGCAAGTGGCACTTCGTCACAAGGCAATTTTGGAGAACGACATGTCCCTAAATCGTCTTCAGGCCACCACTGATGAATCAGCTTTGACTAATTTTAACCCAAACTACGGTTGTGATGGACTTCTGAATGGAACCGTAGACGTTAAAAGTTTGCCCCAAGTCCAGAGGGAAAGTTTGAGACTGGTCAAGTAAGGAAAAATAATAATTATAGTAATTATATAATTAATTTAAATTAAGATGATGCTAAGTGTAAATATGAAGTAAATATGAAAACTGTTTTCATAATCTCTCATACCAGGCACTTCTGTCTGTGTGAGATATGAAAATAATCTTCTATATAAAAATAAGTCGGGTTTTCCTTCCTGCCGAAATAACTCCAGAACGCATGAATCGATTTCGACAATTTTGCATTCGTTGGAAAGGTCTCGGGCTCAGCAAGGTTTATAGCTAGGAAAATTAATGGTGCATGGCATCGTGCCCTAATGCAAATTGCTGGAACTTCACGCACCGTAATTAAAAATTCGAGTAATTAGTGAGAGTTATCAGAATTATGCTTGGTTAAGTCAACGAGCAATTCTTGCAGCAAAGAATAATGATGTACACGCACTGAATTTCACCATTCAATCAAAAATTGTTGGCGATTTGGTGACATACCAATGATTCCGACTGGTATTCCGTTTGACTTCAAACGATTGCAATTTCCAGTTCGCCTTGCGTTCGCAATAACAAGTCGCAAGGCCAATCGCTTAGTGTTTGCGGGATAAATTTCAAATAGATTATTTAGAAAATCATTGTTTTTCACATGGGCAGTTATACGTTGTCTGTTCACGAGTTGGAAAACCATCCGCTTTGTTTGTGTTAACGTCAGACCAAAAAAAAAAAATGTGGTTTACCAAAGAGCCCTTCAATGAAACAGATAAATTGCGGATTCACTTTCATTTACTTAGAGAAGTTCAACTAAAAAACACTTCATTTTTGTAATCGAAATAAATTCATTACTGTTGTATAATAGAATCAAATTTTTCCTTTTCAAATATAAAACAACCAAAAAATTTCTTCATCTTTCTCACGAAACCATCTGGTGGCGAAACGGAGTTCGTCGGGTTTGCTAGTGTAAATATATAAATAAAAAAAGTGTAAATTGTTTTTGGTTCAGCATAAATTGGAATACTTTGTGATTTATATCTTTTCTTTTTCCCAGGGCTTTGGGTCAAGGTGCCTTCGGTGAGGTCTACCAGGGACTCTACAGGCATAGAGACCAGGATGCAGTCGAGATGCCAGTGGCAGTCAAAACCCTGCCTGATATGTCTACTGGACAGGCCGAAAGCGATTTCTTGATGGAAGCTGCCATCATGGCCAAATTTAATCATCCCAATATTGTGCATCTGATAGGAGTTTGTTTTGATAAACATCCCAGGTAAATAGGAAGCAAAATATAATAGATTATTGAAATTAGTATAGCATTATATGAACAATCAGAGTAACTGATCGATTTCTTCGTGGTGTAAACGTAAATAAAATTAAAATATAACGAGAAACAAAAATAGTAGGAATTGGTCAAATGAAGAATTGACTATGGAATGCAATAATTCTATAGTTTATAGGCGAATTAAGTTTATAGGCAATTTTTTGTAATGTTTTTATTAAAAAGCGGAATTGTTGCGTTACTGCATCAGTATATTTTAGCATGATGTTAAAGTCAACGTATATACTAGTGGGGCGCATGGCATCGCGCCTTAAGATAAATTGCTGAAACTTTCCGTACCAAAAATTTTTTCTTAAAAAAGATTAACATTTTTGAAAAAAATTTGCTTTAAAAAAATTAGATTTTTGAGAAACTATAAATTTTTGACAAAAATACCCATAGGGATGTAAACAAAATTCATACTTATTGTTAAAATCTCTATAAAATATCTGATAATTTTATGTGCATATGTCTAATGGTCATGTTTGACCGCCAAATGGCATTTCTTTTTACGTTTTTTACTAGATCTCCGAAAGCGCTAGACCTGCCTTCATGAAAATTTAATCAGTTTTTCATCTTGTCAATATAAGTAAAATGTTTTCTGAATTATTAAAATCGGACGCTCCGTTCTCTTAAAAACTGAGTTACCATTTATGGCACTTTTTGCACCGTATCTTCGAAACGGCTAGACCTGCCTATGCCAAAACCTAATAAACACGTTTTTTTTTTCAAGAGTAATCGATTGTTTTTTGAATAATTGAAATCGGTTGAACCATGTTCCCGAAATCGTCGACGAAAATTTGTATCCGCCCACACATATACATCCATTTTTCTAAGGTATGCCAAAATGTTCAGAAACCTCTGAAACGTAAAGATATATAAAAATTTTCTATTTCGATTTTTTTGCGATTATTATAACTTACCTTACAGGAAATAAATTAGTTGCCCACAAATTTGGAAACACATTGATTCAAGTTTCATCGCAAATACATTTTGTATATTTATACATGTTTTTCTTTTAATTACATTAATGAGAAAAAAGTTGTCTGCATTCTGATCTGTAACATAAGTCCACAAAAAACGTTGTCTCTGATCACGAATTTAGCCAATATTATGAGTCAAAATGCAAAAAAAGTGGAAAATAAAAGAACAATATCATAATTTTTGCGTAATAATTAGAATTTTATTTCTGTCATTTCCTGGCCCATTTCACCTTAAATTACGGATTTCTTCAATCATCATTTCTTCTCAGAAATTAATAATTATCCAAATATATTCTTTTTATCTCTCTTACAAAACTTCTCTTTTTCATCCCTGTTGTGTATCTTTTTATAGTTCCAGAAGTAACTTGTATTTCAAAATATGATTGCAAATTACTGCTGAAATGTGCAAGAAGATACTCATTAAAGATAAAAAACCTCGTTGTGAATTTTTTCAGTTTTTTTGCATTTTGCCTCCCAATTTTTGTTATAGATTCGTGTTTAGGGGATAAAAATACATTGAAAAACATAAATCGCACACCCGATACAGACAACTTTTTCTGTGTACCTGAGTAATTTTTTAATATATATTCCATTTATTTTATATTATTATATTAATTTTATAACATCAAATTTATAAATGTTAATATAAAAAATAGTTTTATTATTTGTACTGGCTATTAAAAATAAATGCATGAACACAGTTAAAATTTTATATATTATTGAATGCCAAGCATTCATTTTATAATTTATGATAAAAAATAACTTGAATTTACTGATTTTGATGGTGCTTTTAAATTTTTTAATAAAAAAATTGTGAGAATATATGTAAAATATCAGTTATTGTTTCTCAAAACTATCATGAAGAATTTACTTTAATTTTTAATGAATATTTACAGATTTATCGTCTTGGAATTACTTGCTGGCGGAGATTTGAAGAATTTTCTAAGGGAAAGTAGACCAAAACCAGTAAGTTTATCTTCATAATGGACTAGATTTAATAGGCACTTGATTTCTTGTTTAGATATAAAATTTCTGATATAGAATATTTTACATATGAGTATTTTACATACAATAACATTTAAAATTTTGGAGTATCAAAATAGAATTCATTCTGTATGCTATATTGAGATTGCTGTTACTAATGTGTTCTAAAGCCATTTATATCATTAATACTATTATTACAATTATACAATTTATTGATTTTTTTTTTCAGGATAAACCCTCAACTTTAACCACCAAAGATTTAATGTTTTGCGTCCTGGACATAGCAAAAGGTTGCAGATTTCTAGAGAGCAGAAGATTTATTCATCGTGATATCGCAGCCAGAAATTGCTTGTTGACTGCCAAAGGACCAGGACGAGTTGTCAAAATTGCTGATTTTGGCATGGCCAGAGATATCTACAGGTAAATGATGAAGAATTAATAACTAATCGTAAATTGGAAAAAGTCAGATTCAAAAGAAATTGTAATTTACCTATAAACACCATCATCGTTGTAGAAAAAACTAAGTAATAGTATCTGACAATTTTGCTAAAATTTATTAATGGTTGTATGAGACGAAATTTTTCATTCATTTTTCAGTCGCTCAAATCATAGATTTTTTCGGATTTAGAAAATATTAACATTTTTCATTCAATTCGATCTCGTGGAAAAGTCATGGACTATAGTCCATGATTTTCGCCAATTTCAAACATATCAAAAATATTTACAGTTTTTGCTCGTTCAAATCCCAAATTTTTTTGGACTTAGAAAATATTTCACGTTGAGAAGTCGAATTATTATTACTGTTATTTTTTATTTTTAGGTCGGACTATTACAGGAAAGGAGGCAAAGCCTTGCTTCCTATAAAATGGATGCCTCCTGAAGCTTTTATAGATGCCTTGTTTACAACAAAATCTGATGTTTGGTCTTTTGGAGTCGTTCTGTGGGAGGTAAACTTGGAATTCTATTGATTTAGATAAGGAACTTTGAAAATATTTAGTTGCATATATAAATTATAGATAATCAGGCACATACTTACAATAATCTAACTTTTACCATTTGGCAGTTTGGCAGATGTCCATAGAATATGATATCAGTTAGTTACAAAAACATATTTTATTTTTAGATTTTTAGTCTAGGCATAATGCCTTATACAGGATGCACGAATACTGATGTCATGCAATTAGTTGCAAATGGTGGTCGTCTGGATACACCACCAGGATGCCCACCAGCCATTTACAGGTAGGAACAGTTAACATAAACATATATCATTAAGTAACAATTACCATGAACAAATATTTTCTGTTAAATTATTTTGCTTTCTAACTTTTCTAGTATTCTAAATTTATCATTTATATTTCAGTATTATGTGCGATTGCTGGGATCCAACTCCTGAAAACAGGCCAACATTTGGTCAACTATTTGAAAGACTGACAATATGCACTCAAGTAAGTGCAAGAAAGTTTAGCAATAAGATCTATTTGAATTGTTAAAGATGTAGCTATTTTTTTAACAATTTTATCATTTTGGTACTATCATGGTCAAGATCTTTGCTGTTAGAATTGGTCAATAGACCTCAAGCATATTTTTCCTTATGTATGACCTCAAGTTTATGTAGTTGCAGTCGGATACATTGTAATTTATAAATCTTTTTATTTTAGGATCCCGAAATCATGAATGCGCCCCTGCCGAGTTTCATGCGACTGCCATCGAATAGTGAACGGGATTCTTCTAATTCAAATCAACGAATCCAAAACAGTGATGATTCGAATTTGGCACAATCAGGAGTCCAGCAAAATACTACAAGTGCATCAGACTATCTAATTCCTTTACCAGGACCCCATGGCAACATGGGCAATCAAATTTCTGATAGCCATAAAAATCCTGGTGATGCTACAAGTAAGCTAGATTCTTCAGATAATTCAGTTCAAATTTTGAAATAAGATTTATCTAATTTATTTTGTTAATTTTTAGCACCTGTTGGTTATATACCACAGTCTAATTCTATCCAACCGCTGCTGCAAGATGAGAATCAAGATTACTCTAAAATAACACCACTTGTAAGTTAAAAATATTAACCAGAAATTTAACACTGAAAAAAAACTAAAACTAAAATTCTTTCTGAAGGAGTAGTTTGTCGCATAAAGTCCCATTTGCTAATTTCATGTTTTCGAGTCTTTTCAGGTCATTCTGAATAAAAAAAATTTTTTTTTATCAGTTATGCATCCCAGACTAGGTCTTTTGTCTGGGTAAGTCGGGATCAATACCGCCTGGATATAATACAGACTAAAACCTCCGTTTTGCCTCTAGTTCTCATGGAAACCACCGTTAAGTTTTTTTTGGGGGTGGGGGGTTTCTAGAATGTTATCATTCTTGCACTCATAGAGAATGTATGTGTGTGTGAGAGAGTGTTATATATTATTCCATTTTATGTTTTCGAGATTTTCAAGTCATAGCGAAGGTAATGCATTTATGCATCCTATACTAGGTCTTTTGTGTGAGTATGTCGGACTCAATACCGCCTGTGTATAATACCGATCAAAACCTACGCTTTGCCCTTGCCTCGTGGGGGGAGGATCTAGAATTGTAATCATTCTTGCACTGAAATAATAATGTATCTAAATACGTCGCTACTACATATGACCAAGAACTTTAGATTTTTTTAAAAATTTGATTTAAATTTTTGTAACAATTTTTTTTTGTAAGTGTTCAAAAAATACATTCGAGTTACTAGTATATTTTAAAAAAAAAGTCTCGAGTGCAAAGGGTTATATAACTCAATATATAGAGAATGTATGTGTGTATGTGAGTGTTGAAGTCGATTTTTTAAGTTTTTTCAAAAAACGGCTGGACCGAACTTAAAAATTGAAATCATTCGAAAAATCTTACCATTTCAAATTTATGGTTTGTGCATTGTTCACAGAAATTAATATTTATCTAAATATATTTTTTATATCTGTGTCACCTTACAAGCAGTCTACAAAATTTCTCTGGTTGTGTAAAAAAAATTTACTATTAATTTATAATTAAACTACTTATCGTAGGCCTCTAATATTTTGGTATGTTGAATCAATAGAATAAATAAATAATAGATAGAATAAATAATTCTAAAATTTTGAAATATGTTAGGTCATTTTAAAGAAAAACTCTATGAAAAGTTTAATTTTGTCCTACGTCAAAAAAGTGCTGGCATTTTTTCAAACTTGAATGAATTTTTTTAAGTTAAAGGACTTGTCGTAGAACTGTAATATTTCAGCATGTGCTTTAATACTATGACTACTCTGTCGTTGTAAAAAGTTTCCTAAAAATCCTCAAAAAAAATTAACAATAAAATTTTAAGAAACGGTCGTTACCAAAAACTAATTACCGCCTATTTAGCCAATATTTTTTTAACTTTTTGAATTTTTAAAATGGGTTCAGAATTACTTATTTTTATAAAAATTTAAAAAAAATCGGCTTGACCAATCGGTGAGCAAAGTTGATAAACGCAAGACCGTATCAATTTACACTGAGCTTTTAAATTTTAAACGCATGAATGCATAGCAAATACATGACATTTTGACAGTATGAATCAGTAGATGTATGGAAATTGGAGCTCAACATGGCCTTGCCATAACTTGTTCTATCCTTTATCTAGATAATTTGAACTTTTCTCCCTCCCAGGCTGAGAATCTGATGAGCATGGACACGCCGCGCGCAACAAACCCCGACTTCAACGCAGCCTCCAGTCAGCATCAGCTGCAACAACGCCAACAGCGGCAGTCGTTCCTACTACTGTCGAGACAGCATAGACGACAACCAGGTCCTGAACAGGCCCGACAATCTGCTAAGATATCCTCAACACTACACTCCCAACAACCGAACCATCATTCCAACCATCAGACAGATGGCGAACCAGGCCGTCCCCTTGAAGTCGCCGTCGTCGACGGCCGACATCACAGGAGTAACGCTGAATCCGAGCGATCTGGTTGATCAAGTCGGTAATAGAAATAGTAATAGTAATAGTAAAAATTATATTAATCTAGGAGTCGGTAAGACGGATCAGGCTAACCATAAGCCGCAGGTTACCATAAGTGGATCTGGTGCAGGAGGTGGATATTTGAATAACGATTCGGAGATTAGCTGTTGAATGTACGTGTCTGGTGAGTGATGTTTAATTGTTTTGGACTAAAATATAGTAGTAATAACTGATGGTGTTGGTGATTTACTAAAGACTAATAGTGCAGTAAACGGAGAGGAAAAAAGGGTTAACCTCTGAATTTTTACTGTGCTCTGAATTTTGGATGAAATTTTGGAATTAGGTTCATCTTACCCTCAAGTTCAAAAGTGAAAATAATTCGGATGACACCCCTTCTCAATTGTGTAATTACATTTTTTCAAAATAACGGAAATCGGTAGAAGAACTAATTATAAGAAAAAAATGTCTTAAAACTAATACTTTTCAAGTTACTGGCCACTAAAGATTCATATATTTTTGGCGTTTTTCTTCGTTTTTGTGCAAATATCTCCTAAAATATACATTTTAACAAAAATCATGTAATGAACAAAATAATGTCAATAAAAAACTTAATAGATCGGTATTACATAAAGTGTTCTAGAAAAAATATTAAGCAAGATTTGAAAGAGCAAAGTCGTTTTTATTTCGTTCAAGATTTAATTGTTGTATTTAAAGCCATCTAGTGTCGAAGTTTTACATTTTATGCATTTCGGTGAAATTGGGTTTTATAGTGCTCAACACAGGCTTTAAAATGATTGCTGTTACAAGTTTTTGCGTGTAAAATGAGTGAGCTATCATGCAAATAAGAAGCATATACGAAGTTTTTTCCTTTTAAATGATATGATTTATTGAGCGCCATTTCCACCAGAATTAAAGTAATTCACATTCCATCTAGAATTCACTTCATTATAGACATCTTGATGGATTCTAGCAGATTCACTACTTGAGTACAAACTATTTTCAGAAAACTCACGATTTTATAAAAACTCTTTTTTCCAATTTTTTAAAAAATCGAAATTATTTTCATTATATCTCAAAAAGAATAAAAGATACGTATAAAAGCATATAGATAAAAAGCAAAGGGATCTTTCTGGCTTATTATTGTTTTTTATTATTTTTCTTTCACACAAAAATTGACAGAGTTATGAATGTTTAAAGACTGCGCGGCCGCGCAAATAAGAAAAAAAAGTTTTTATAAAATCGTGAGTTTTCTGAAAATAGTTTGAACTAAAGTAGTGAATCTGCTAGAATCCATCAAGATGTCTATAATGAAGTTATTTCGAAAAAATGTAATTACACAATTGAGAAGGGGTGTTATCCCTCCGGGGGGTGATGGCGCAATCCGAATTGTTTTCACTTTTGAATTTGAGAGTAAGATGAACCTAATTCCAAAATTTCATTCAATTCGGAGCACAGTAAAAAAATTCACAACTAAAACGCTCCGTTTACTGCACTATAAAGGCTGTGGTCAGGTTTGTTGAGTTGCTGAAGATTTCCTATATATATTATATAAGAAGGGAACAACTAAAGTGCATTGTTGTGTACTGTCAATTGTTTTAGATTTTGACACACGTTGGAGGAGAAGTTTTTTACATTTGTAACTAATTAAATCTAGCAACAACTCAGCAATTTTAACAACAGGCGAATTGATAAAAGTTTTGTCTTAAGGATTTTAAATAGTTAACTTCAGCTTTCACCTCGAATTGAACCCATGACGAGTATATTCGTCATAATAATAAGATATCGGATGAAACTCTGCAGAATCTACTTTATTAACTTCCCGTAGGGTAGTTATAGTAATGGACCCAAAATCGAAAATTATATTTTTGCATTTCTCGACGTTTTGAAGGTTTCTGAACATTTTGGCATAAACCTTACCTTAGAAAAAATGGATATGTGTGTGTGTGTTTCCACGTTTTCGAGCGCACGGATCAGCCGATTTGAATTGATTCAAAAAACATTCGATTTGTATTGATAAGGAGACGTGCTGATTCGTTTTTGGCGAAGGTAGGTCTAGCCGTTCCGAAGATACGGGGCAAAAAGTGCTCGGTTTTTAAGAGAACGGAGAGTCCGATTTTAATAATTCAAAAAACATTTTACTTGTATTGACAAGATGAAGAACTGATTAAATTTTTGGGAAGGTAGATCCAGCGATTATAGACTCTCAATAAAAATATGTTAAAAAATGTCATTTGGCGGTCAAAAATGTTTATTGGACATATGTACATCAAATTATCAGATATTTTATAGAGATTTCAATAATGTGTACACTTTTTGTGTAATTTTTTTGGGTTTCATACCAAGATTTTTAATTACGGAACGAGAAGTTAAAGCAATTTTTCTTAAGGAAAAAACTAATCAGCACGTCTCCTTATCAATACGAATCGAATGTTTTTTAAATTATTCAAATCGGTTGATCGGTGTTCGTGAAATCGTCGACGGAAATTTGTATCCGCACACACACACACACATACATCCATTTTTTGTAAGGTATGCCAAAATCTTCAGAAACGTTTGAAACGTGAAGATATGCAAAAATTTTCATTTTCGATTTTTTGCGATTACTAGAACTTACCCTACTGGAAGTAAAAATAGTTTCTTGTAGATTGGAGAAACTCGAGTTGGGTCATTCACAACTTTGATTTGATCTATAATTTTACTAAAAGTAACTATCTACATTATAACTTGGAGCATATTTGGTTCCAAGAATTCTATTTATGATTTTTTTATATTAATTAAGACAACTATTTAAAGAATACAACGATAACAAAAAAATTTACAAACTAATAAAGATTGATAAATTTGAAACAAAACATAAACGAAAATGGGAATTTTGATAGTATAATTTCATAATGATGCACCTGCGCACTTCTGTATACTGAGAAACGGTGCAGTAGCTATGGTGTCATTATGTTCAGGGGAGGGGGTAGGATGTTAAAAATATTTTAATATCAATTAAGCTCCTAGTTTTCCAGTTTTTGGAATACTTTCAGATCGTCACTTAAGGGCAATATAATTTTGGACTTGCTTCCTTTTTTTTAGAATTCTAAGTCCTTACAAAAATTTAGTTCGTTACAAATAGAAATTCTTCATTGTATGATCCATTATAATCGTACAATTTTTGTCCAAGAATTTCTAATTTTGCACAAAATTTTGTATATTTGTCAATCCCAAAGTAAGTTGGGCTGGTGGGATCAGAAGAAAAATATAAGTCTGTTTCTCAAAATTGATAAAAAGTCACTGTTTTTCATCCATGACGATTATAATCGTCAATTAGCAGTCAACTTGTTTAAAATCTATTACTACCAGGGTCAGAAATATTAGTCTTTAGTAAATTTCTACAATCAACAATCAAATTCTTCACCATGTTGGATGATTCCTAGATTTTGGCTGAAGAATGATAAATTATGTAAAAACTTAGTGATAAGTGATAGTTTATTACTTGTTGCGTTGGCATATGAAATTTATTTAATTTATAAATCATATCTACATTTTTGGTATTAAAATTACATGTGATCATAGCTAAAATGAAATCGTTAGGACTATTTTGAAAATTAGCTTTATTACTGCGAATTTAGTTAGGGAATGAATTTGTTCTGACTTTGCATTTTTGGTTGCTGAATTTTAATCTCCAACTAAATTTCTTTTTTTGTAAAAAAGGCCTAAAATGCAATAAACGGTTTTTAATACAGGTTGTCACAATACACCAAAGAAATTGTTATGATATTAAATTAAAAAAAATGCTCATATAGATATTATTTATTTATATTTTAAGCGCAGCTTTAAGACTTGAATTGCAATATTGATTTTTATAAATATAATAATATATTAATGTTTATCGTTGAAGTATTTATAAGTGAAGTTATTATGGATATTATTATTGTGTTTGTGCCAAAAATGTGTTACACAGTATTAAAAATACTCGATATGTTGCCAAAATTATTATTATTAGGAAGGTAGTAGGTTTTTATTCGTCCGATGTAAAAAGTGGGGTGCAAATATGGATTTGAGGATTCACGTGTAAAAATATTTTGTTCTGGTACAAAACTAACAGAAATTTTTGGTACATTTGATGAATTTCCATGAAGTTATTTGTTTTGGATTTCTGAAATTTTTATGCCCAATTTATGGGAATTTATGCCCAATTTATGGAATCTTATGCCACATTTTGGAGCTTCAGTATTTTCTTTGCAAAATTTTACTAAATCTAATTTTTTAAATCATTTTTCACTTTTCTCTAATTTTGCTCTTATATTACTAAATTTTAGTTTTTTTTAGTATCTTTACGTTGAAATTCAATTGGATATTTATTCTTATCCCATTTTTTGGATGGGTGCAAATATTGATTAGAGGGTAAATGGTAAAAAATTTTTTTTTGGTTCAAAAGTACCAAAAATATTTGGGCACATCTGATGATTTTGTATTAAGTCCACTTGTTTTGGATTTCTGCAACTTTTGTCCTTATATGTATATCCACCTTAAAATTTTATTGGACTATTTATATTCAATTTTTCGGGGTTTCCGTAATAACACTCCTATATTACTTATTTTTAGTATTTTAATATTAAATTTTTATTGCATTAGTTTTGTTTAAAACCATTTTTTGAGGTTTTAAGTAATTATACTCCTATATTACTAAATTTTAGTATTTTTACGTTGGAATTTGTTTGAATTATCATCATTTTTATACAGTTTTCGAAGGTTTAAGAAATTTTACTCTTGTATTACTAAATTTTATTTTTTTTAAACATTTCCACGTTGAAATTTATTGGAGTATCTTTTTTTTCATTTTTGAGATAGTTATAATTTTACTTCTGTAATACTAAATTTTTATTTTTAATATTTTCACTTTGAAATTTATGGATTATTAATTTCTATCTCATTTTTTAAATTTTTAGTAATTTAACTCTTGTATGAAAAAAGTTTAGTATTTTTAGTATTTTTAATTTTGAATTTTATTCTTGTTATGTGTTTTATTCCATTTTTGAGGATTTCAGTAATTTTACTCATATATTACTAATTTTAGTTTTTTTTTTTGACAATTCCAAGTAGAATTTGATTGTATTATCATTTCTTATCCCATTTTTGAAGTTGTTTACTCTTGTAATACTAAATTTTATTTTAGTATTTTT